GCCTCCCGGGGGAGAAGGGCCTGGCAGTAGGAGTCGATCTCCTGCTCACAGTCCCTGATGGCACGCAGGCTCTGGACTGTGGCCTGGAGCTCCTCCAGCTGGCGCGCCAGAGACCCCAGCAGGGAGCAGACCCCACAAGGGGAGGTGGCCATGCGCCCAGGCCCCAGAGCCTGAAAAAAGGACAAGCAGCCCCTGCAGCCGAGAGCCAGGGGCTCCGTCCGCGTGGAGCCCGGGACCATGGGCTCCATCTGGGTGGCCATCTCAGAGGTGCCGGGGGGGGCACAGACCCCCAGGGGACCCTCGGGGTGCAGCGCATGCCCATCTGCAGTATGCTACTGATAGGCCGGCTGGGCCTGAGTCTACCTACCCTGGGGGGCTCACAGGCAGGGCCTTGGGCCTCCCACGCGCCCTCCTGTGTGAACTCCGTGCTAACTCATGCACCGGCAGACAAGCGCGCCTGTTTGCGCAGCCTGGTCACTGGGTCCCTGGGGGGCTGGGCCAAGTGGGGGCCTAGGCATGGTGAGACCTGCCCGGCCTCCACTCAGCCACCTCCTCCCACTCTCTAGGGGTTAACCCCCTCCCACCACGGGCCCCGCTTACCTCCAGCTGTGCTGGGGGCTGGAGAGGGGCTCTGTGGCTTCTGTGGGAGCGGGGGTGCAGCGGGCTTTCACCCGTGCATCTCTCGCCACTCTGGAGCCTAACTGAGGCTTTTTTGCTGTTGGCGGGCCCTTTTAAACTGCAGCCAACACCCAATGCCTCTGAGGGAGGATTAAAGACACTCTGACACACATAGCAGAAGGAGGGTGGGGGAAACCACTGAAGCCCAGAAGCCTGGAGAATCCCACTGGGAGAACACGGGCATCACTAGAGCTAGATCATCTCTAGCCAGTGGCTGTCCAACATCTTGAACACCTCCAGTGATGAGTGAGTCCATCTTTCCTGGGCATCAAGTTGACATTGAGTTCACTGCCTCCCTGCTCTGCCAGTGATGATTTTCTTTATGAGATGCCCTCTCAACCTACTTTGCAGCAACTTCAAGACATTGGTCCTCATTCTACTCTACAACAAGGGAGAAACACTTCTCCCTCTTCGTTATGGCAGCCCTTCAGGTACTTGAAGACTGCTATGATATCCCCTCTTACATGCCTTTCCCACAAGCTGAGCATACCTAGCTTCTCTTGTTTCTACTGCTTCTTCTGTTCCTTGAACCTTGTTCTTTGCCCCTGCCCGCATCCATCTCTATCCCCTAAAGTTTGGACAACTCAGCTCATAACTCTCGGCTCTCAGGCTCCCCATATTGGTCACCAAACTCCATAAGGGTCATGCTTATGACAACAGGCTCAAGCGTACTGATTGGCCCCACTGGATGCTCCCAGCACCGCAGAGGCTGTTAGCACTGGAAGACCCTCAAGGTCCTTCTGAATGCTGCAGCTGGGGTGGCTGTTTTGGAGGAAGGGGTATGGGATGAGCTGGAGGGGGGTTCTGAGGAGGAGAGGAAGGACTAGACCTTCACAATGGAGTGAAAGACACATCGCCAGCCCTGTCACCAGTGCCTCTCATGTCCAACACATGGCTGCAATTAGCTATTGGAGGGTGGGGAGGTAGAAGTCATTGGATGCACTTCAGTGGGGGAGCTCAGGTGTTCTGGTAGCCCAAGAAATCAGAGAGGAGTGAAGATGGGCAGTAGCTTTTCAAGTTCTGTGAAATCTCTGGAGGTGAAGGGGGGTGGAAAACTTTCCAGCTTTAGCAAGTCTCCCCCAAAGTTTATTTGCCACAGAACAGGGTGAAAGCCCCAAATACCTTCCCCCCCCCCCAAGCCCTTCCCACTCCTGGTGTCAGAGCAGAGCCCCCTCCCCACAAACTGCTGCCCCACCTGCAGTCTGCCAGCATCTTTCTGAGACTTCCCATCTCTTTCAGTGGCCCCAGGCTCCTCCACGTGGAAGCAGTTGCTGCTGGAAGACCAGGGCTAGGCCTGTCCCATCCGCACAGAACTTCAGTCCCAACTTCTCTGTGCACCAGGGGCTGGAAACAGGCAGGGGAATAAGAGCTGTGTCGCACACATTCTCCGTACCAGGTGTTGAAAGGAAGTGAAGATTTTCCAGCCTTCCACTGATCTGACCTTTGATCTGTGTGTGTGTGTGTGTGTGTGTGTGTGTGTGTGTGTGGTGCTAATTCCAGAGCATGGGGCAACGATCAGCAGCTGAGAAGTTCTCTGGGACCATGTGTTGTCCCACAACCCTGGGGCCACAGCACTCTGCGATCTTCTCAATGATGCTGTGAGCTGTCACAATGGTAACACAGTTGATGTAGTGATCATTGGGTTCAATAAATTCAGGTATAAAATGAAGGAAGAGAATTAAACCTTATTGTGGAGCAGTAGGTAGTCTCTTTACCCCTTTGTCTTCTTGGGACTCACCACTGGCCAGCTACTACATTCTTAACAAAGGGCCCATCTCCCAATTCCCAGCGCTGAAACTTTTTAGCTAGGGGGCATCTCTAAAGGATAGCTCCTACCACCAGAGTTAGGTGTGCAAGCATCCATGAATAATTCACAAGACCAAACCAGAGGTTTCCAATAGGACTCCTAAGAGTCAGAAATATTCTGCCCTCCCAGAGCCTGGCTGAGGTCTTTATAACAGAAGCATTGTTCTAGGATTTTTTTCCATAGTCAAGAGATGAGCTGAGATTTTCCAGGGATTTTCCAAAATGCTGCATTGGGGCCCTTGACTCTGGGACCCCCAGTCAGCTGCTGCCTGGCTATATGCAATTTAAGGCAGGATGGGAACTAGTTACAACACTACTGTATACATTTGTGTCATACCTTTGTGGCTTGTTCCTTCTTTTTATCATACCCATAAATGCATGAACTTGTGGCCAGGTTTCTACCAATGATACAATTAACTGGTTAATTGCATGTTAAGTGTAATATCTGCCAGGGGCCTAGAAGGCCATTGGGAAAGAGCTCTCTCTTGAAAATACAATCTGGTGAAACAGGGATATCGACACTCTCTGTTGGTAAGACATGGGCATCAATGCCCTCCACTGGTGGAATGGGAGCAGTGACACTCAGAGCCCTTCAGGGGACACATTTAGAGTTGTTCTTCACAAGCTCATTAGATTCAAAGCCCCTCCTTGAATAGTGCCAGCTCTTTGTCACTTGTTGTCTGCTGCACCTTATTCATTCAAAGCCTTTCAGCTCTATATAGGGTGGCCATCACAGAGGACATTCCAGTTTTCTGCTATTCTGTCCTCTATTGATATGAAACGTGACACCTTTATTTTAAAACCCATGTCCTTTGGCCTCATTTCTATACAATTTTTATAAAAGGGTTAAGTAAAAAAAAAAAAGGCTTTAGGGCCCACTCAACAACAGGTCAGGATGGTTTGGAGAGCCTGATTCTTACTTGAAACTCCAAATGTGGCCATAAGGGCTTCCTGTGGGGCAAGAAGATTGGCAGCAGAGAAGTGGTAGCTATTAATATAGCCACCTTTCCCTTGCCATAATCCCAAACCCCAAGCTCCCCACTGCTGGGACACCCCTTTTCTCCCCTGTGGGGCCAAGTCACGCCATTCCCCACCCCCCTCCCCACACCATGGGGCCAGGTTGTGGCTGGGCTGCCCCATGCCCCCTCCACGTGGCCAGATGGTGACCCCTGTGCCAGCTCTGGTGCTGGATCAGGACTACCAGCCGGATTCCCTAGTTGAGGATCCCTGCTTTGGAGTCATGCTCTAAGGAATCTCCTTTAGCTCCAAGAGGGAAGGAGAGTAAATCAGACAAAATTGTATTACAAAGTATTAGGATTTTTTGGAGTAGAGGCAATTTGAAGTGTTCCCCCAACCAAACCCACTTGTAAGCATGTTTCCTCTTGCTGCACCAAAGAGGGACTTGAAGAGGATTCAGTGAGAAAGCCAGCTACCATCTGATGCTGGAAGGAGGTGGGTTTGGGGATGACCCATTTTCTCCCTAGTAAGGGAGACCCAGTTTAGGCATCATGTGGAAAGTTACAGCTCCCCTCCCCCCAGAAGGGGTCACCCCTGGCTGGACCCCTGTGCCCCACCCCCTGCAGAACAGCAGCAACCAGGGCCCCTCTGGGGTACTGCAGTCATCCCCATCTGCAGTCTCCTTTGAGGATCTTCCCACTCCCTTCCCAGATCCTAACTCGGTTTCCCCCCCACCATCCAGGGGAGGGGAGTCTCTACAGGTTGTTACATATGACATTTAGCTTGAGTTTTATTTAGATCATTGAGAGTGTTGGAGCTGTTGCATAGTAATACTTACTATGATTTAAATAATAAGAGGTGGTTGGCAGTCCCAGCCTTCTCACCACACCCAAGTCTCCCACTTGGATTATCTCCATGGAGCAATAGGATGTCAGCTCAAGGCAGGTTCAGTAACATGATCTGGAGATGCTTCTCAAGCAGAAGGCAAAGTCCTAGCTTTGCTACTCTATGATAATCCTTAATCCACATTTTACTGCTTGAATGCCAGGGTTTTCAGCGCAGTTAACAGGCACTAAATGTAACGCGTGACAAGACTGTACTCCTCCCCATCGCAGGATTTTTTTGCTAGGCAGGGGGAATAATTCCCCATGCCCAAGCCAGCTACTGCCCCCCACCCCCAATCCAGGAAGGATCTGGGACCCCAGGAATGATCTCCCTCCCCACCCTTTCCCACTGTAATCACCATGAATGACAGATCCACGTAGGTGAGAAGCAAAGATATATTTATCAGCTCATTTCTTTCATGTGCCCTATGCCTGGGGTGGAGCTATTTGAACTCGAAGGAGGTGACCTTGATGTCTCCCTCCACTGAGAAAAAGGAGATGGTCTCCAGCCCCAGGCGGTTAGGGAAGGTGAGCTCCTGGTCTTCCTGCATAGTCACCCTCAGCTGCTGTCCATCGAAGCAGAAACTCATCTGGGGATGGGGGGCAAGAGATGTGATGGGGCAGGGGGAAGCTGGGGGACTCGCCTGCTCCCACCCACCCCAGGTAGTCATCACCCACATTCTCTGTTGCTGGAGAGGCCAGGTGGTTGCGATCTTTCCCCAGAGAGTGCCCTGCCCAGCTCACCCCCTGCCCTCCCAGCCATTAGGAGAGTTTTCAACTTCTTCCGGTTGGTGTCCTCATTCCCACCCCCCCCACAGGACCCAGAACCTAAAAAGAACTGGGGAAGTCCAATTTAACACTGGGCTACTCTCCCATCCCAGAGAGCCCTGTCCACCCAGACCAGCTCAGTACAAAATGAAGGAGCTACACACTTCTCCTAGACACTTTCCTGCCCCCAGCTAGGAGGACAGGTCACCCCAGAAAGTGGGTCTTGTACCCTCATCCCAAAGAATCAGAGGGCCTCAACTCCTACCAGGCTATGCTAGAGCATGAGTGCTGCAATTTTCTCCCCCCCTAGACAGTGACCCTGCACCCAGCCAGCTCCCCCTGCCGCTCACCTTGGCATCCTGGCCTTTCTGGAAGGGGAAGCAGGGCTCACGCTGCTCCTCCTCCCACACCCCACCCTTCATCAAGTTGCAGACGATGATCCCAGCATCACCTTCGCTCTCAAACCGGGGGTTGAAGTAAAGGGCCAGGTCTAAGCTAGTCTGGCCCAGGCTCACTGCAAACCTGGGGGGTGGGGCAGGTTAAAGCAGAGACAAGACCTCTGAGATAGGATCCAAACTTCCTTCATGAACCACGCCCCCCCCAAATGTGTAGTCCAGACCAGGGCAGGCCCTTGCTAGCATTGTGGCAAACCTTCCAGCATCTCCTGGGGCATTCCCAGATGCAGTGAACTCCTTGCACCCTAATCTAAGTTATCAATTGGCTTTAGGGAATAAAAGTCTCCCAGCATCTCCTGGAAGGGGGCATTGTGGGACTCTCTCACCCATGGAAAGCCTCATAGCAACTCTGGCAAAGCAATGGGAGCCTTGCTGTAGTATAGGAGCCATCATCCCACAATGCATCAGGGCAGATAAATAGTAAGGTGTAGCCTCTGAGCATCCTCTTTACCAGGGCCAGGGGAGCAGCCAGGCCCTCTTGGGGCAAGCTCAGCCTGTGGGGCAGCAGTCCTGTAGGCCCCTCCATATCTACAGCCCACCTCTTGCTGACAGCTGGGACTCAGACCCATATGAAAGGGACCAACACCCATGGACCCCCCCCACCCCTTGCACAGTTCTGGGGGATTCCCAGCCCCCATTCTCATAGCTATGGGAGCTAGCACCTCCCCAAATTGAAGTGTCCTGGGGGATGCAGTATGAGGAAACTAACAGCCCCCAGTCCTGGTCTTGCCCCATATCCCACCAGGCTTGGATGGGTCTCCATGCATCCATGGCCTGGACCAGCCCAGATGGGGGTGATGGTTATGAAACACCAGAACCCCCATGAGTACATAGGGGCTGAAGTCCATGTGGTGGCCCAGGGACCCCCCACTTCCCAGCCATGAGCCCAGCCTCACCTCTCAGCATCAGGTGCCACCTTCCCTTTCAGTTCAATGCGGTCACCCAGGTGGTGATTCACGTTCACCATAACCATTATCTACATGAGGTAAGAAAAACCTGATGACCTCAGATCTTCCCACAGCTTGCTCTCCCATGTAGGGTCTCCTGGAGAGCCTCAGCTCTAACCCCTTGTACCCCTCTACTAATCCCCACCTCATCCAGGGCCTACAGGGAAACTCAGAGCTTTCATCATCACTAAGTAGGGCACTGCTCCAAAAATACCAGGATTCAGACACCCCCAACCTGGGAGGCGGGGGTGTCACCCAGGCTTTGCACACCAAATACCCTCCATACACACCACAAAGATAGGGTGGGAGAGAACCACCCAGAATGAAGGGGAAGCCAAGATACCCTAGACCCCCACTCACACACGCCATCACAGCTGCTTTAAAGACACCCAGCTCCTGGCACGAAGTAGACAGGTTGGTGTTAGTAGCCTGTAAGCTTTATATAGCTGGGAACAGCCCCCTTTGGCCAATCAGGAATGACATAAGGGGTGGGGGAGGGGAGCATGTCCATTTTGAACCAACCACAGAGGAGGAGGTGTGGTCAGTGAAACTTTGAGTTATCCTCTCCCCCTTCCCTATGGGCTGGGGTGATTAAGCTTCAACACTATGGTGCCCAGGTGGATGTGGGGCCCTGGACCTGCTGTTCCCACAACCCCACAAGACATGAAGGGAAAACACCCATAGGGAGACAAGCGTGCTGCAGGACCCTGCCCCAGCTGGTACCTTGCATGAACATACCTGAGAAACTACAAATCCCAGCATCCTTAGAACTAGGTTCCCAGCATGCTCTGGGAGCCACCCACCTATAAAAGCAACTCAGGTCACTCATAGCCTTTGTTTTGTTGTCCTGTAGAGGTCTGGTGCTCCTGTAAAGGTTTGTCTTTCACTTTGTTTTGCTCATGGTGTAGACCAGTTGATCTCAGACTCTAGATACCATTGTTAGACTCAAAGGCCTCTGTAACATTTGTGATCTGTGCTTCATTCCATTTCAGAGGTTCATAAAAAATGAGGGTTGGAAGGGACCTCAGGAGGTGATCTAGTCCAAATCCCTGCTCAAAGCATAACTTTCCCCAAATATATCATTCCCACCAAAACTGGTATTTCCAAGATTAATGTGTTCATTACAATACTTATCTCCTTGCATAGAGGCTGGGCAGTGGGGGTAGGGGGTAATGACCAGACAGGGATGAACCTGAGCTTATCTGCTTATCTCCTCACACTGCAGAAGCCCACTCCAGGGGATCTTCCAATACCCCAGGGTGCCCTGGTTGTGAAGGTCTAGAACAGTGTTTCTCAACCCATGGTGGTGATCCAAAAGTGGTTTGCAAGAATATATGAAAGGGTCATAAACAAATATTAAAAATGCATCAACAAACTTAAAAATGGATTCTCCTATAAAGGAGAAAAATATGGGAAACTGGCTTTTTCTTTGCAAGCTGGCAGAGTTCCAGCCTGCAAGAGGCTGACTGGCTGAATTTTCTAGCTATCAGTCCTGTTCATTTACAAGCAGCTCCTATAATAGCTTGTTGCCCTGATCAGGAAGGAATGGTTGCAAGTAATTCTCTTGCTTAGAAAATCCTGTGTCTGCTACTTCAGTGAGCTCTGGGCCCACAAAGCCCTGTCTCTGCCCTAGCAGACATTCCTTCCATCAAGCTTCAATCACTCATTCAGGATTAATAACCTCTCCAGTGTGCAATGCTCAGACCTATTGCTAGAGGGTTGTAAGTCTGCTCTTGGGTTTCTAGAGGGTTGTAGAGACCTGTTCCTAGAGGGATGCAATGCCTACCCTGCTTGCATTGGTGATGCATAGGGGGTGTATGTGGGTGCACATGCACCCCCTGAATTTGGTGTTGTACCCCCTGCAAAAAGCACTACTGGCAGTGCCTGTGGGCAGTTGCTGTTCCCCCCCTTGCCACCGGCCTGCAGGTGGTCCCCAATTGCCACTGGCTGCTGATGGCAGTGTCTGCAGGTAGTCGCTGACTGCTGGTCAGCACTCGCCACCCCCTCCCCCCGCCATTGCCAACACCAGTTGGAGTACTGCGTGCAATTCTGGGCACCGCGCTTCAAGAGGGATGCGGATAACCTGGAGAGGGTCCCGAGAAGGGCCACTCATATGGTTAAGGGCCTGCAGACCAAGCCCTACGAGGAGAGACTAGAGAAACGGGACCTTTTCAGCCTCCGCAAGAGAAGGTTGAGAGGCGACCTTGTGGCTGCCTATAAGTTCATCACGGGGGCACAGAAGGGAATTGGTGAGGATTTATTCACCAAGGCGCCCCCGGGGGTTACAAGAAATAAGGGCCACAAGCTAGCAGAGAGCAGATTTAGACTGGACATTAGGAAGAACTTCTTCACAGTTCGAGTGGCCAAGGTCTGGAACGGGCTCCCAAGGGAGGTGGTGCTCTCCCCTACCCTGGGGGTCTTCAAGAGGAGGTTAGATGAGTATCTAGCTGGGGTCATCTAGACCCAGCCCTCTTTCCTGCCTGTGCAGGGGGTCGGACTCGATGATCTGTTGAGGTCCCTTCCGACCCTAACATCTATGAATCTATGAACCACTGCGGCCACCTACAGGAGCTCCCCACTCGGCCTGCCCCCGCCCCCAACAGTGCTGTGGCTGCCTGTGGGAGCTCCCCACTCACCACCGATGACACTGCTGCTGCCACCTGCAAGCTGTCACTGTGTCCCCCCAGCCTCCGGGGCATGCAGCATTCATGCCTGCTTGCCAACTCTCTAGCCACAATTTGTTCCCCTGTTCCACTTGGATTGCCCCCTTTGCCCCTCACAGTTGATTGGTAACGTCCTTCCCCCTGCAACCTGCCCTCCCGTTGTAGGGCCTGGTGAGGGTTGGATCTGGGTGTATAGGGCCACAGCTGCTAGATGTGCCATGCCAAGGGCAGGCTGCAGGGGGCCAGCAGGATGGCCATGGGTCTAGAGGTGATGGGGAAGTGTTGACAGTTCCCAGAGGGTCTGCCCTACCAGGGGAGACTTGCACATCTCTGCTGGGCCCTGGATCTCTGGAAAGACCTGGCAGGCAGTAAAGGGGTTATGGGGCTAACTGGAGCCAAGCTGACTCCCTCCACCAGCCCTGCCAGTACCTCTCACTCCTGGCCCACAGCCCCTGTTTCCCAAATCTTGCTGGTCCCCTCATTCCTGACCCACAGACCCCTGTCCTCCAGCCTTACCAGTGCTCCTCAGCCCTGACCTGCAGCCCTCCTGCCTGCCCCCCAGCCCTACCAGTGCCCCTTGCTCCAGACCTGAAGCTCCCCTGCCCCCCAGCCCTTCCAATGTCCTTCACTTTTGATCTGTATCCCCATGTCCTCCCCCTCCAGCCCTCCCAGTGCCCTTCATTCCTGACCCACAGCCCCCTGTACCCCCAGTCCCACCAGTTCCCCTTACTCCTGACCTGCAGCCCCCTGCACCTCCCATCCCTGCCAGTGCCCCTTGCTCCTGAACTACAGCCCCATCAAACACACTAGCTACTTCCTTCTCCATGGCTGGAATGAAACCTCAGTTCTTCCCCTGCCACTTGCAGGGATCTGAGATTGCACTTTCCTTTCCTGGCTCGGGTGGGGTGAGGGGAGAGCCAGGGAGAGAGGGTTGGGGCTGGTTTCATCCCCCTCTCCCTTCCTTACATCCTGGATTGTGCTGGGGAAAAGCATCTCTTGAACACAGTGGACGCCTGGGGGTGCACATATGCAGACACACGTGCACACACATGTCCTGCTCTGGTCCTCTCTTTCTCAGAAAACCAAAACCACTGAGGAGTAGGAG